CTCCGGGATGGTGGAGGAGAGCGCTGGGGGCGCAGCGCGGGGGTCTCGGCGGGTTCCCTGCCGGCCCCCCCCGGCCCCCAGCCCCAAAAGGCTGTGGAGCGTGGAGCGCTCCGGGAGGGGCTGGCGCCTGGAGCGCCCCGTGGGGGTGGATTGCAGCTCCCCCGAGCCTCGCTGCATTTGGCTGAGCAGCCTCCGCCGCCACGCCGCCACCCCCGACCCCCGCCCGCCCCCGGGACCCCGGCCCGGCCGAGGCCTCAGAACCGAGCGGTGCCGCCGGGTGAGAGCAGCGATGGGGATGGGGGGGATGGTGGGGGAAGGGTTTGGAAGGGTGAGGGGGGGGTCTCGGGAAGGGGGGGTGGGGTGTTTGTCACAGCGCTCGGGTGGCGGGGTGTCCCCTTGGTGGCCGAGGAAGGGCTGGGAGCAAGGTCCGGCTGTGTCGTGTCCGGGATTGGGGACAAATGCTGCGCCCCAGGGTGCGGGGACAGCGCTCCTTTGTTCTGCCCGAGGGGGGACACTGGCACGAGATACCTGTCCCCACGGGTGGCACGGGGGACAGGGACTTGGTGCCAGCTGTGCTGGAGGGTGGAGGAGCCCGCAGGAATTGGGGTGACCCAGCTGGGGTCTGGATGTCACCGATGTCACAGGCACTGGACATGGAGGGGCTGCCCCCATCCCTGCCGCGCTCGTGGGATGGGGATTTGGGAATGCTGGGGTGAGGACGCAGCTGCTGGAGCACGGCTGGAACCACCAGGGCGAGGTTCAAAACCAAGGCAGAAATTTGGGAGGAGGGGGGGGGCAGGGCTCTGAGGACAAACGGCTGAGGTGACAAAACTGAGTGTTTGGGGGGAGCTGGAGCGTCTCATCCAGCACTGGGTGAGTGCCCAAGGCCCGGAGACTTTAAACCCCCCCAAAAAAACCCCGAATCCGGGTGGTGGAGAGGGAAACAGGCACAGCAGCCTGGCTGGTCCCTGGCAGGATGCTCGGACGGTCTCACCTCACACCTGGGCTCTCATCCCTGAACTGGAGCCACCTTCACGGCCGTGACACGGGGACACATGGCTGTCCCCGCGGGCCGGCTCTGCCGCTGGTGTCTGCAGAGATCCGAGCCCTCTCCCCGAGCCTGTCTGTGCCGGTTAAAATCAGCGGGGCACATTCAGCTGTCAGCTTAAAAATAATCCGGCGAGCCGGCGGCCGACACAATGGAGGGCGCAGATGGGGCCGGGCGCCGCCGGGATGCTCCCCGGGCTGGGGGGGATCCCCCGGGGGCGGGGGGGTTTCTGTTGTTATCTGGGTTGGGGTGATCCCTTGGGATTCGGCCGTGGTGTTTTCTGTCCCGACGGGAATTTGGGGTTCTGCGTGGTTGGGAGCAGCCGGTTTTTGGAGGGGGTCAGAGGTGCGTTCCGAGCTCAGGGATTCCATTCTCGGGGGGTGGGGGACACAAAAAACCCCTCGTGGTCACCCCCGGGCTCCGTGCGGGACGTGCGGGACAGGGGACAGAGCCCGGCCCCGCAGCCACCGGCAGCGAAAAGGCCGCACTCAGCACAGGCACACACACACACACAAAGGCTTTTTGTCCCTTGTCCCCTTTGTGTCCCTTGTCCCCGTCCCCTCCCCGCTGCCCATCCACCGCTTCCACCCAGACAGCCCCTGAATTTTAACACCCTCATCCCAGCCCGGGCTGACTGTGCTGCTGCAGCACGGAAGGAGCCAGGGCTGGATCCCTGTGGATCTCCTGCCTGTCCCTGCTGCTCCCAAATTCCCCAAATTTTTGGCGGTGCAGGGACATCAGGCGGTGCCCTCTGCTCCCACCCCAGCCAGAGGTGCTGCCAGATGTGAGTCCCAAACTCACCCCAAGCCCACACTCCAGGGAACACCTGATCCATTCCTTTCTTAATAATTTCTTCCTCGTTTTCAGCTTCAATTTCTTCGGTTGTTAGCATTAAGCTTAACAATTCCACTTATTGTTGATCTTTTACCTCCAAACTGATTTCCCCATCTTTAAATATTTTTTTTTTTTTTTGCTTCCAACTGCTCTAGCAAAAAAAGCCCAAAAGTGCAGATGAAGCTTAAGGCATGTACAAAAAAAATCGATGAATTCCCCACTGTTTCCCCAATTTATACTTTAGTGGTTTGCAAAAATATGCACTTTCAGATTGGCCAGTTTTATCCTAACAGAATAATTTGTTGTAGGTATCAGGGCCTTATTTAACACTGAATATGCTGCCCCCGTGTTTGCTAAAAATTCCACTTCTTTCTCGTTATTCCCTACTCAGCTGTTGGCAGCCCAGCTGTTTCTCCAAGCTCCTGCCTCGGTGCCAGGGGAGGTGCCCGTGGCTGCTCCGGCTCTGCCACAGCTCCCAGTTCCTCTCCCAGCACCGGTACTGGGAACTCTGGGATGCAGCCACCTCCCCTTGGCTCCATTTGCTGCTCTGGGCAGTGTCCCCTGCCAGATCCCAACGCGCTGCCAGGTCCCTGTCCCATTTTGGGAATCCTCACTGGTCCCAGCACCTCCCGGGCAGCTCTTTCCTCCTTTGCCCAAGGTTATGGCTGTGACATGCTCAGAAAGGGACTTTTTGTCCCCAAGTGCCACATCCCGTCCCTTCATCCCCCCTCCTGGTTCCCATCCGGACCCCCAGGCACAGCTCGTTTATTTTAATTTCCTCTCCATTCATCTCCTTCCCACAGGAGGAGTCGAGGGGGGGATGCAGATTTTGGGGCAGAGAGCTCAACCCTCACCACGAGGCTCGGGATGAGCACATGGGGGATCCCCAGAAGTGACACCTTGTCCTTGTCCCCACAGCCAACGCCGGGCCGGAGAGATGGGGCGTCCCCGAACGCCAACGCACCCCCGGAGGGGGGGTCCTTCCCCTGGGTGGGGCCCAAGACGGTGGCGCTGCGCAAGAGCCCCCAGGGGGGCTTCGGCTTCACCCTCCGCCACTTCATCGTGTACCCTCCGGAATCGGCCGTGCACCCCGCCAAGGTAGGGCTGGGATCCCGGGAATGCCGCAGCGGGAGTGCCTGGGATGGGGGATGCTCCTGTTTGGGATGAGGGTGGGCGGGGAGGTGAGGAGTGGAGCGTCCTGAGCTGGATTTGTGGGAATTCCTGGAGCTGCTTCTTTGGAATTCCTGGAGCTGCTCTGTTGAGATTCCTGGAGCTGCTTCTTTGGAATTCCTGGAGCTGCTTCCTTGGGATTCCTGGAGCTGCTCTGTTGGGATTCCTGGAACTGATTTGTTGGGATTCCTGGAGCTGCTCTGTTGGGATTCCTGGAGCTTTTTTGTTGGGATTCCTGGAGCTTTTTTGTTGAGATTCCTGGAGCTGCTTCTTTGGGATTCCTGGAACTTTTTTCTTGGGATTCCTGGAGCTGCTTTTTTGGTATTCCTGGAGCTGCTTCTTCGGGATTCCTGGAGTTACTCTATTTGGGATTCCTGGAGCTGTTTTGTTGGGATTCCTCGAGCTGCTTTGCTGGGATTCCTGGAACTGCCCCCAGCCCCTGTGGTGATCCCAGCCTGGGATGGAGGAGCTGCTGGAAGAGGAGCTCTGGGCAAGCAGCACCTCTGGAGACATCCCAGAGCCTTTTGGGATGTGGGATTGTTTGTGGGAACGGAGAGAATCCCTCAGCTCCAGACATCGCTGGGAACGGCAGGAAAAGGCACCTCAGAGCCCCCGAGGCCAAGCAGGGCCGGCGGAATTTTGTCTTTCCTGGCTGTCGGTGAGGATTTTCCAACTGGATCTGCGCTGGCATCTGTGTTCTGGCCACCCCTCGTGGTGCCGTGTTTTTTGGGAGGACACGGCGCTGGCTTGGCACCTCTGAGCCCCCGATCCGGGCAGCGCCTTTCCCCTCAAGGATGGAGGGATCCCATGGAGCCACCCGGCAGCAGCGGATGGAAAATCCCCAGGAATTCGGAACCCCCTTCTCTCCCCGTTCCCTGTGGATGACGGGAGGACAGCCCCGACTCTCCGTGCCCCATTGCCCACTTCTGTGGGCAACCAGCCACGGCCAACCTGTGCGTGCTGGAGCGGGACATCCCGGCGCCCTACTCTCCAAAAAATGGGAACAACACAGATCCTGATCTGTGCTGTCCCACGCATGCCTTTCCTTGCTCCACATCCCTGGATGATCCCATCACCCCTGGAGCTCCAGAGCTGCCCCACGGCCCCGGCGCTGGCAGACAGGGAAGTGCCGTGGGAAGTGACTCACAGGGTGGGGAGAACTCGCCGGAATCCCCGCTCGCCATCCTCCGGCACCGCCGCTTTTCCCAGGCTCCTTCTGCCTCTCTCCAAGCTTTTCCTGCTCCGGGAACGCGGGCAGCGTGACTCCACCGCAGAGATTTTGTCATGGCAACGACCTGAAGCTCCTCCAAACCATTCCACCTCTCCAAAAAAAAAAAAAACAAAATCGATCCTGCCCCGCTGGGCACCGGGACCGCGTGGGAAGGAGCCGGGATCAGCTCCGGGAGCTGGAGATGCTCTTGGGAAGAGGCTTGGGAATATCTCCCGGCCGCAGGGCGCGGTGGGGCTGGCTCAGCAGCAGCCGGGGGGGTGTGGGGGGACCTCGGCACCCCGCCAGCTCCGGGGGCTGAGTTTCGGTGGCTTTGACTCAGCAGGGAGGGGGCCGAGAACCGAGCTCGCCACGCTCGCCACGCTCGCCGCGCTCATCGCGGGATGGCCGCGGGGCCGGGAAGGGCTCTGAGGTGCCGCAGGGTCAGGATGGGCAGGGAGGGGCTCGGTCCGTGCCCTCAGGGGCTCTCGGTGGCCCCACGGGCTCGCCGTGGCAGTGGAATGTGGATTTTCCTGCGCTGGGCACCTGGAGTGGTGCCGCTGGCAATGGCTGCCCGTGGCACTGGGATGGAGACTGGGACGTTCCCAGTGCCCTGCGGGGACCTGGCACCTTGGGGGACACCAGGGTTGTGTCGCCACTGGCTGGAGCCTGCGGCCAGGCCTGTGATCCCAGCCGGGCATGGAAAAATCTGGCACCGGTGGAGTGAAAATTCCCCTTCCAGGTGCCCCAATCCCTGCCTGGGGGAGGACGTGAGACCCACCCTGTGCCCCACCCCAACCTGGAGTGCTCTGCTGAGGGGTCCCCACGGCGGGTTTGGGTTTAAAAAACGGGGATTTGGCACAATTCCCACCCCACGGGACAGATCCGTGCCCACCGCAGCCCTGGCAGCCCCCGCCGTGCTCCAGGAGGCTGCGGGGACGGGCAGGGATGAGGATTTATCCCAAATGAATCCCCTGGAATTCCAAGATGAATCCCCTGGAATTCCAGGATCCCTCCCCTGGAACCCCACGACAAGGGCTGCGCTGTCCCCGGCCCGGGATGAAGGGTGAGATGCCACCCTGGGGCTGGCAGGGCCACTTCCCTCTCCCCTGCCCTCAAAGCGGCCCCAAAATCGGCCCCAAAGCGGCCCCAAAGCGGCCCCAAAGCGGCCCCAAAGCGGCAGCTGGGTGCGGGGGTCCCGCTGCCGGCCCGGATCCGGTGTCAGGGGGTAATTTTAGCCGGGGGCGGCGGAGGGCAGAGGGACGCGCCCTTCCCGTGAGGGGCTTCAGGGGCTGTCACCCCCCGTGTCCCCTCCCTTGTCCCCTCCTTGTCCCCTTGTCACTGCCCCACCACCAAATCAAATATTTTTTTTTTTTTTTTTTTTTTTTTTTTTTTTTTTTTTTTTTTTTTTTTCTGGCAGGAGGAGGAGAATGGGAACCGAGCAGGTGAGCAGTGGCACGGGGACCTTGAGGACAGTGGCACGGGGTGGCACGGGGTGGCACGGGGGGGGTGTCGCGGCTGTCACGGGTCGCAGCGGGTGTTGCTGCTCTTGTCACCGCAGCCCTAAATACCAGCTGGCTGTGCTTTGGTGGCAGCTCGGTGGCCCTTTGGGGACACCGGCGATGGGGCTCAGTGTCCCCAAACCCCCCGGGATGTCACACCCGGAGGGGCTGCGGTGTGGCCAGCAGCGAGCAGGGGGGTGTTTGGGGACAGGGACGCGACCCCGCTGTCCCCTGCCGGAGGCTCGGGGGTGACGTGAGCGAATGTGAAGGTGTCAGAACGGATCGAGGCTGGCGCGGTGACAACGGCGCCAGACCTGGCACCGAGCACCGAGCACCGGGCACCGGGCACGGCTGGGAGGACTCCGGGATTTGGGATCCCCGGTGGACACTCCTGGTGGATTTGGATCTCGGGGGGGGTCTGAGGGAGGAGAGGAGGTGACATCCCCACCACAGGGCGGTGCTGGCGGTGGTGACAGCTCCCCGACACGCTGTCCCCCACCCAGCAGGTCCCACCCGGAGCCGCCTGGAGCCCATGGACACGATTTTCGTGAAGAACGTGCGGGAGGACGGGCCCGCGCACCAGGCGGGGCTGCGCACGGGTGAGCGGGGAGGGGATCCCGGCCGTGCTCCGCCTCCTCTGCCAGGGAATTTCTTGCTTCTTCTGCTTTTTTTAAATTTTTTTCTGGAATTCCTGCTCTTTTCTGCCCTTTCTCTCTGGTGCTGGGGTGCTCAGAGAGGCTTTGGAGTCCCCGGGGGATTCTCCTGGGTTTGGGGTCGCACGTTTGCTCCCTTTTGTCTGCTCAAACCCTGCCCTGGGTGACCGTGGGGACATCCAGGTGCCACCAGTCCCTCGTGGTGACACTGTCCCCTCCTCGGGCTCTGCAGGTGACCGGCTGGTCAAGGTGAACGGGGAGAGCATCATCGGCAAAACCTACTCGCAGGTGATCGCCCTGATCCAGAACAGGTGAGTGTCCTTCCCGGGATGGGAGGTGACAGGATGGGGACACGTCACTCTGTCCCTCTGCGTGTCACTGGCATGACAGAGGCCCCGAGGCGCTTGGCTGAGCAGGGACAGGCAGCAACGTGCTGTCACCATCACGTGGGGACAGGGACATTCATCTCGTGGGGGATCCAGCCAGGTGTGAGCTTGGGGACAGGTGGGGACTGAGCCCTGTGTCCCCTGTCCCGCAGTGACGATGTGCTGGAGCTCTCCATCATGCCCAAGGATGAGGACATCCTCCAGCTGGTGAGTTTGCTGGCCAGGTGCCTTGGGGACACTTGGGGACACTTGGGGACACTTGGGGACACTTGGGGACACTTGGGGACACTTGGGGACAGGGCTCCACCTGCATCCCTGGAGGAGCAATGGGTGCAGAACTGGGGGTGCTGGGGCAGGAACGGGGGGGATGTGACCTCTGTGATTTTGTGGGGAGCACCCTCAGGCACAGCTGGAGGAAAAAAACCCCAAATTTTGGGGTCTGGCTTGTCCTTGGACCCTCCCAGGTGGCTCTGTCTGGGGGTGACAGTGGCCCTGGCAGGGTGGCCTGAGCCGAGGGGCTCCTCCTGACGCCCCTCCCATCCCAGCTTGGATATTCGGTGTTTTTTGGGGTCTCCCTCATCCTGGGGGACCCCTTCCCGTGGGGCTGGGGGTTTTTAGGGGATCTGCGCCTGCTCCGGGCTCTGGGAATCCCCCGGTGCAGAGTCAGGGGTGCTGTGAAAAGTGAGACGGGCCAGGCGGGACGGCCGTGCCGGGATATTTTAGGAAAGAGGGGAGGGGACAGCGGAAGGGCTGCGGCTGCTGCCGGCGCTGCTCGGAGCTGGGGGGGGACCCCGTGGGAAATCGGGGCGAGTTTGGGGGGGGGACTCCATCCAGCCCAGCCCAGCTGACCCCACGGGAGGTTCTCTCAGAGGTCGGGGGATGCACACACAGAGCATCCTTAGGGTGGGGATTGTGACCCTGTCCCCCCCTCCCTGACCCCCTTATCCCCCCTTTTTTCCCAGGCCTATTCCCAGGACGCCTACCTGAAGGGCAACGAGCCGTACTCTGGGGGGGCTCAGAGCATCCCCGAGCCCCCTCCCATCTGCTACCCACGCAAAACGTACCCCTTCCAGGCCCGGGGTTCCGAGCCCACCCCGATCCAGCCGTCGGACCCCCGAGCCCCCCGCCCGGCCACCACCGCGGGTCCCTCGTCCCCTCTGGGCGCCCGCAGTGACACCGGCGGCAGCCCCGCTCACCGCCCCGAGGAGCCGCAGCCTGGGGGTCCCCCCCCGCGCCCCACCGCACCCCACGGGCACCCCGGCTCCTTCTCCCGCCCCAACATCGCATCCTCCGTGCCCGACCGCTACGGGATGTCCCCGACGACCACCGCCACCTCCTACGGCGTCCCCAAGCACCTCCCGGAGCACCGGACTCACTGCGGCTTCAAGGAGGCTGTCGGGGGGTTCTCGGCAGCCGGGAGACCCCCCCGGGACGTGTCGGTGGTGGCCCAGCGTGTGCCCGGTCGCCAGGAGTGCCAGCAGGCGCTGTCGCGCTGGTTCTGCAGCCAGGAGCCGCGGCGCAGCGCCTCGGAGGAGCGGCGACACGCCATGCCCCGCTACCGCAGCGTGTCCCACGACCGCCTCGGGGGCTCCGGGAGCGCGACATCCCGGGGGTGGCCTCACAGCGCCTCTCACGATACCCTCCTGCAGCCCAGCCGCGAGGGTTGGGCCCCCCGAGCCCGCTCCGATCATTACCTGGGCAGGTACGGGCGCTCCATGGAGGCGCTGGAGCCCAGCGCGCTTCTCTCGCCGCACCTCGGACCCGAGAGGCTGTGCCGGGCCGCTGGCGCTGTGGCCACCACCGGGCAGCCCATCCCACCCGGCTCCTTCGCTGCTTCCTCCTCTTCTTCCTCTTCCTCATCGCGGGAACCCGCTCCGGTGCAGAAACACCCATCGCAGCCCAACCTGCAGAGCGTGGATGATTCGGGCTACATCGGCTACCGCAGCTACAGCCCGTCCTTCCAGCGCCGCACCGGGCTGCTGCACGCCCTGGCCTGTCGCGACCCGGCTTTTGGAGGGCTACCAACCTTCAGCATCGCCCAGCGGGCAGTAGCCCCGCTCAGGGACAGCGTGGCCACCCCCGTCACCCTCCCTGTGGCCACCCCGGCGGTGTCCAGCGCGCCCCGGGAGGCGAGGCCCGAGGGTGGGCGAGTGTCCGAGCAGGCGGAGGAGCGCAGGGAGGAGGTGGTGCTGCGACAGAAGCCACCCACGGGGCGCAAGGTGCCCGCGCCGCTGAGGCAAATGAACTTTGTGTTCGCCGAGGGGGTGAAGGACACGGACATTGGGGACACCGCCGGGGCCGCGGGCAGAGGGGACAGGCCGGGCAGCGAGCGGCCGGGCCGGCGAGTGGCTCCTTTGGCGGCCCCCGAGGACTCGCTGGCGTCCATTCCCTTCATCGGTGAGTGCGGGGTGCGGCTGGTGGGGCACGTCCGGGAAGGGATTTAGGAACTCCCGTGGCCAGGAGGGCAAGTTTGGGGTGAGAAGCGCAGGGCGTGAATCTGTGGGCAGGGGGGAGATGGAAAAGGGGCTGCACCAGCAGTGCCCTCAATGCCGGGCACCCCACAGGGTCCCAGACCCCACAGAATCCCACACCCCACAGTGTCCTGTGCCCCTCTGCACCCCACAGGGTCCCAGACCCCAAAGAGTCCCAGACCCCACAGGGTCCTGCACCCCTTTCTGCCCCACATTGTCCCACACCCGTGTCCTGCACCCCACAGAATCCCACACCCCACAGAATCCCACACCCCACCGAATCCCACACCCCACAGTGTCCCACACCCCACAGTGTCCTGCACCCCTTTCCACCCCACAGTGTCCCACGTTCCTCTGGATTTGCTGTCCCCAGGCAGGGCCGGGGTGCCAGGTGATGGTTATGGGGTGCCAAAGTTTGGGTTTGAGCACCCTCACCCCTCCCTCCCATCCTGCACCCCCTGCCCAGCTGCTGGTGCCCCTTACTGGTGTGAACTGGAGCCCTGCTGGCTCCTGCCCTGCTCTGGGTTGGGGACAGTGTGGGATGGGATGAGGATGGGATGGGATGGGATGGGATCAGTGGGATGGGATGGGATGGGATGGGATCAGTGGGATGGGATGGGATGG